AAGTGTTTTTCCAAGAAGAAACATCTCGAACTTTATAGCCTATAAGCAAATTTACCTTGGAATGTCTCATTTTAAGCCTGTAATTTTCAGATACCTGTCAGGAATATAAAACGTTAACAAATTTTATGGATGGGAGAATAATAAGCAAAAATAAATAATGGTTTGGGTTTTAGTGGCTTATCAATATCTGACTGAACTCATTAAGTAATCTGTCTTCAGTCTTATTTAGTGCTATGAAATTCCCTAATAGCTTATAAACCTAAACCAAATATAAGAACACTTCTGCTTATTTGTTTTTCTCCAGCCACATCATTAATAAAAAGTCTCTTCTTATAAGAATCAAAATCATATTTGGACTATGACTTCACTCAGATTCTTTGGAGCTACTGCTACTATTAAAGTGTAAGCATATTCTTTATGCACATTGTTACTAAAATATAGGGAATTTGATGGTCTTGTGTATAAATGTGTTTTTTTTTTTCAAAAATCATGCATGAAAAATTGTAATTTTTCAAACCTGCCTAATATGTAAATGTTCTGCCCTCTGGCACTGGCCCATACATTCTCCTATTAAAGAAATCTTGCCTGGTACCCAAACTCGATAATTATGGCCGCCACTTAAAGGTAACCAAAACTACTGGTATATAGTAAGCTCAGAGTCTTGAATAGCGTAGAAACCTGGGGAGGCCCTGAGAATACAAGAAGCACTGGTTTTTCAGGGGATGGCAAAGCTCTTTTCTCCTCCAGTTATCTCATTGCCCTGTATGGATCCCAGTACCGTCCTTTCCAGTCAGAATCACTATAAAATGGTTTAAAATTCCCCCCAAGAATGACTTTTGAAAACATATTTTTAATTCTTCAAAGTCTATCATTCCCTATTGATTCTCTTTTCCTTCTAAGTTCTGTCTCTTCCTGAAGGAAAACCTTGTTTAGTACACAGGAACATTCTGACCAGGCCTAGAGTGACTCAGATTTGTTCTAAGCAATATCAAATATTTTTTAGGCAGTGTTTTAGCATTGTAAAAACATAGGTAAAATAAGAGACTTGGAATTCCTTCTCTCTGATAGTGCTACATTTCCCAAAAGGTCTCTATATAAAGTTGTGATTTTGTGGCAATTAGGAGTATTCCCATTGGATTCTAATAGTCATGAATGTCCATGTTATCTACAATTGCAGTAATGTCTAAGCACTTAAGACTTACACGCACGTCTTCAATCATACAGCAAATATTCATTGAGTATTTACTATGGTTCAGGTACTAGTGTTATAGGTGAGAAATCAGAATTAGAAAGAAGAATATTTCTCAAGTTTTAAGAGAACAACAAATAGGGAAAATACAAAAGAAGAAGAAGAAGAAGAAGAAGAAGAAGAAGAAGAAGAAGAAGAA